TTAAGGTGAGTATCATGTGAGGGCAGAACATGCTGTTGTGGAATGCAGAAGGCTGCCCAGAGCTGTGGGGAGTGGCCAAGTCCATGGGGTGAGAGGTGGATATACAAGATGTTATCTCACCCAATTGCGGGGTGGACTGACTGGCCTTCATCTGCCAGGTCCTACCCAGGGAGGGACTGAGCAGGGTGTCCACCTCTCTGTTCTCCATCCTTCGTTCTGTGACACCTGTCACCCTTGCCAGGCCTCACCCAAAGTGAGTTCAGCTTAATCCCTGAATGAAAAAGGACACAGGTGGGGAGGGCTCTACTCCAGTGTCCCCTAATTCCCAGTGACAGGACCTGGTCGACAGGACCGGATCTCAGGACGGTGGCCACAGCTGCAGAACATAGATCGTTTCAAGAAAAGTTGGAAATGCAGACTTTAATATGGGTCCTTATTCCAAAGGTGGCAGTTTTTTCACATTGTGGCAAAGACAACTTCAAAAGTAACATAAGTGGGTAAAGTCAGGTCCAAACCAGGCCATTTCCTCATCCAATCTCTCTGAAGAGAGTGGACAGAACCAAGTCTCAGCTCTTTGCAGGACACTTTTGTGTTTTGCTTTTTTTTAAGCCTAAAGAACAGCAGTCTGTCTCCATTCTTGTTCTTTCTGATTTTCATCATTGGATAAAAGGATGCGTACATTGGGGCAATTCTCTCAAGATGCAATATTATAGTTGCGCCCTGGTGATGACTATATCGCCCCTCAGAGGGATGGAGCTGACAGATGGGGAGCAGGGAATTCTGAAAACCAAAGTGATGACAGAGATGCTAAGCCTTTTCTTCACGTGCCTGACTCCCCTCTTCAGGTGGCCTGCAGGCCGGGTATCTGCTAGACCTTTACATTTGATGTCCTGGAAGGATGCTTTGGACCCTGCTAAGTGGTGTACAGGGCATCCTGGGCCCCGGGGGAGTCTTCCCCCTACTCCAGCCACTCCTGGTACAGCTTCTGCACATGGGCGCTGGTCTCCAGGGGCCACACTGAGATGGCAGCGTAGATGCCTTCCATTTGCCACAGTAGTGCCCTGTCTTCACACCTGTAGTCCATCTGGGCCTGGCCCTGCCGCTTAGACATGCCCGGCATAGGCCAGGTCCTCCACGAAGTGGCAGGGGAACTTGCCCCTCTACAGCTTCAGGACCACTTCTGGATGTTCTGAAAGCTGTAAACAGCTTCAACACATAGCAGATACTCTCTGTCTCTTTCAAGTATGACCTCTTGGAAGTCTTTGTTTTTCAGGGTGCGGTAGGTGAGCACTCCCACTTCCTCGTTGAATAGCTCCTTGGCCATGTTCCTGAAGATGTGTGCCAGGAACTCATCAGAGCTGGCACCCTTGTGGAGCCTCATCGCCTCCTCCTTCATGTCTCCAAATATAGTGTATATGGTGGCTTCATTCTGTACTCTTCTCCATTCTTCTTTCTTTCTCTCACTCTATGGTCTTCCTGCTAGGACCAGAAAAGCAATATGTATAGTGCATGGAGATATTTTTATTCATATTGTCATCTCTCTGACTATGTTTTACTTTAGGTTATAGCTCTATTAAAGTTCAGCAATAACTGCATTCAAAAGTTTTTATCATATTTGTCCTTCTTAGTGGAAGGGTTTATAGAGAAAACAAAAGCAAAAACGAAAATAAACAACAAGAGGAGTCGTTCCAAGATGGCTGACAGGTAAACACTTAGCCGCAGCCGCACGCAACAATTTCAATAAGATACAACTAAAATATAAAATGGACATTACCCAGAACTACAGGAGTCGACTGACTGGAAATTCTACAACGAGAAGCAAGGAGAAGGCAGAAGAAAGAGCGGAGGAGCTGTAAAAGCCTAAGATATGGAGACGTGCGGCGCGCGCGGAGAGAACGGAGCCAAGAGAGGAGGGAGGCTGAGTGTCTGCCTGGCGTTCCCAAGCGGGAAGGAGATAAAACTCTGACTGTGCTGGGCCCCAGTTCTGACTTCTCTGAACCCCAGTTCTAGGCCAGACCCCGGGGACCCAGGCTCACACCGAGAGAGCTGGGCTGTGAGGCGGAACCCCGGGGAAGCAGCGAAAGGAGGAACCGGCAGGGCGCACATTGACCGCAGAGAAGGGACGGTTGGCTGTGCCCTGGGATTGCCCTAGCGGGAAGGAGACTGGGACTCTGGACTGCTCTGAACGCCACCTCCAACTCCACTTCTAACTGAACTGAACCCCAATACCGGGCTCATTGGGGGAAATCATTTGTAAAAAGGGAATAATAGTATCTACTTCATAAAGTTATTGCAAGGAATACTTAAGTCAATATATTTAACAAAAATTAACATATTTGAAGCATTAGATAAATGGCCTTGTAAGTTAAACATTTGTATGTATATCTGTATATATTCATTTTCATTCTATAGTGATAGAACTGAGAAATGATTTCAAGGTAACATAAAAACACAAAATTTGGAGTGCTGTTGTTTATTTAAAATGATAATTTTAACTTCTAATTGATCAGGGTATTTTCTCTGCTTGATATATGGAATCTGATTGACAAGACAGCAGACACAACAAAGTTACTAAAGCAAAGAAAGGAAAAGGTATAATAAATACAGAATTAATAAGTGAGATGACTTAAAGTCATGCTTTATCATTTTCTAAAGAATAGGTAATTTTATCTAATTAAAAAAGGCAGTTTAATCTTGTTAGTTATCACAGAAATGCAAGTTCAAAGAGTGAAACATGAATTTTCAACTTATCATTGTAACAATGGATCAAAGCACACTATAATCAGAATGACAAAATATATTTTATTTTATAAATATAGCCTAGATATTTTGATTTTTTTCTATAACTATAACTATAACTATGATTTTTATAATGCTGATCAATTATTTTGCAAAATTCCTTAATATATCATAAAATATTTTATTTGTAACAGTTATTATATCTATTTTGATGCATACCTGTCTTAGAGATACTTTTCAATTAGTGAGTAAACAGTGAAAAACAAAAATATCAAATTTGAGTGTATTTGAAATTAAAGATAACATTATATATAAGAGAAGATAATACCTAAAAATTACTTTCAGTGCTAATTATGAAAACAAACTATATACAAATTGAATTTAAACTTCCTGAGTTGGGCATGGCTTTTAATTGAAGTACTACCTTTGGATGTTCAGACCATAAATATTTTCTTTAGGATCTTAATTTTTTTTTATTAAGATATTACATATCTTAATAAAACATGTTTTATTATAAACATATTATAAAACATAATATGTTTCTTTACCCCGCCATGGTTCCCCCACCTCCCTGCTCATGCCCTCACCTCCTGGTATCTGTGTCCATTTGTTATTCTTATATGCATTTTTAAAAGTCCTTTGGTTGATCTCTCCCCCTCCCCACACCCTCCTCTGCCTTCCCTCTGAGGTTTGATGGTTTGATCAACACTTCTTTGTCTCTGGATCTGTTTTGGTTCATCAGTTTATGTTGTTCATTATATTCCACAAATGAGTGAGATCATGTGATATTTATCTTTCTCCAACTGACTTATTTCGCTGAGCATAATGCTGTCCAGGTCCATCCATGCTGTTGCAAATGATAGGTGTTTTTTCCTTTTTTACAGCAGCGTAGTACTCCATTGTGTAGATGTACCATTGTTTTTTTTAATCCACTCAACTGCTGATGGACACTTAGGCTGTTTCCAAACCTTAGCTATGGTGAATTGTGCTTCAGCCTGTTATATCCTTGCTGATTGGTATAATATTTCTAGTTTCTTGGGATATATTTCAAGATCTTTTGATCAGCTCCAAGATTCTTTTCTTTCTGTGACAAGTTGAATTACTGATATATTTTGAATTGGCAGGTGACAAGAAATTGGGTATAGTAACCAACATCTTAAAAAACACAAATGTATCCCAACTGGCATGGCTCAGTGATTGAGCATTGACCGATGAATCAGGAGTTCAAGATTTGATTCCTGGTCCCATACCTTGTCAGGGCACATGCTAGGGTTGCAGGCTCAATCCCCAGTGGGAGGTATGCAGGAGACAGCCAATCAATGATTCTCTCTCATCATTGATGTTTCTATAAAAATACATTTAAAAAAATTGTCCAGCTGGTATGATTCAGCGGTTGAGCATTGATCTATGAACCAGGAGGTCAAGGATTGATTTCTGGTCAGGACACTAGCCAGGTTTCTGAGCTCAGTCGCCAGTAGGGGTGTGCAGAAAGCAGCCAATCAATGATCCTCTGTGATTATTGGCGTTTCTATCTCTCTCTTCCTCTCCCTTCCTTTCTGAAACCAATACAATATATATATTTAAAAATGAAAGTAATAAAAAATTTAGATCAAGTACTCTTGTTCAATTACAGAGAAAACCTTTTCAAAAACAGTGTGAACTCCAGTGGACAAACAGGAAAGCTGTGTATTGAGTAGACTGAAAACAGGTGTGATCAAAATATCTTTCAGAAACAGACTGAGTTTTATATAGAAAAATGAAAAATAGATCATATATCAGACTTTTGCCTTTATTAAATATTTCCAACTGTAGATTTCTTCACTTTGTCACTGCCTCTACATTCTCTGTCAAGTCTTTCTGTCAAACTCTGGAATATTTGTGCTATATATTCTAATTATACACTCTGCAGTCATTGAAAGTTCATTAAGCACTTTATTGATATTACCTTTACCAAGGTTAGCAACTGTTCGACCTAAAAATTGTTTAAGCTTTTATATCTTTGAAACAGTATATTTTTTCTCTCTCTCTGGTTTATTTTAACTTGTCAACTCAATACTGTTATTTGTTAAGAACTGAGGTGCCACTGGGCTTCCGGATCACTGTCTCCATGCCTGGGACTGGAGTTAAAGCTCATCTGTAAACACTGGCCACGCTCACCCCTGCCCCGCCCCCGGCCTGCCCCTCCACCCTGCCCTCCTCTTCCTCCCCCACCTGCCCGGGGCACAGGGGCCCGGAGCCAGAAGCCAGGAGCCCAGGCGGCGTTAGGAAAAGGTATGAATGGCCTGGGTGGCGGGCATGCGGCAGGCGGGGCACTCGGGCTCGCTCTTGCCGCAGATGCGCACGGCGCAGTCCAAGCAGAAGAGGTTGTGGCCGCAGGGCACCAGCGCGGCCATCACCTCGCCCTCCGCGCACACCACGCACTCGCGCACCAGGGCGGGGCCGGGCGCGGCGGGGGCGGGGGTTACGGGCACGCCGGGCGCGGAGGCTGCTGTGGCTGCTGCGGCCTTGCGGCCTCCGTTGGAGGCGCTGGAGTCCAGGGCAGCGCAGGCAGCGGTGGCGGCAGCGGTGGAGGAGCTGCTGGGCAGCGAGGAGGCGGTGGAGAAGCTGCTGCCGCCGCCGCCGCCACCTGAGAAAGGCGCCAGGGCGGCCTGCGGGGGCCGCCAGGGCAGCGCGCCCACGGGGGTGGGGGTGGGGGCCGCGGCGGGCCAGTTGAAACAGTATTTTTTATCCATTTATTCAGTCATGATATTTTCTAATAACCACAGAGCTCAGAAATGTTAAACCAAGAAAATGTGTGATGAGTAAAATAAAAGTGGCTACCCTTAAGTATTTTTAATTCCTACCAAAATTTCATTGAGTTTGTCAACATGTATTTTCTAAGATCTGCAACATTATATATTTTTACAAGTCTTTTTAAAAACATCAGTAAGATTATCCCCAAGAGTAAACTAAAGCATTCTCAGTTAAACATGCATTGCTCTTTCACAGATGCAGTTCTCAATGTCATAATTTACAGCGTTTATTTCTTTTAAGATTTCAAACCATCATAATGACATATCTTAACAGCAAATTTTCTTTCACAGGCTTGAAATGCTGTACTTGTAAGTTAAAATTCATTTATCTTACTTCCTTTGAATTCCCTCATGTAATCTAATTTCATTAATCCATCTTTAGCAATATATGTTTTACCATATGTAAGCATCCTACTGCCATTATGCAAAACCAAGGTGGACAACATGATTTTTTAAATGAATAGGTCATTATTATAATAAGGTATCTATCTTATAGCATATTGACTAAAATTTCCATATTCTATGAACCCAGAATATTATTGGTTAAGCATAATGGAGCTTGAAACATGATCAAATATAAACTGTACCTATATAAAACCAAAGTAATAGATGGAGTCATTAACAGACAGTTGGTTTAGTTAGTCATAGAATATTTCAGTGTCATTCAATTAATCAGGTTGCCTTTATTTAGAAGCTTCTTTAACTCCCCAGAGAAATACTATAAAGTAGGGAGAAAATGGTTTCTGCCTAAGTTTGAAAATATCTCATTCTTTGTAGATTCAAGCTTAGTAATGCTAGTTTAAACAAAGACACTTTTACAATTTTTTTAAAATATATTTTTTATTGATTTTTCACAGAGAGGAAGAGAGAGGGATTGAGAGTTAGAAACATCGATGAGAGAGAATCATTGATCAGCTGCCTCCTGCACAGCCCCCACCAGGAATGTGCCCGCAACCAAGGTACATGCCCTTGACCGGAATCGAACCCGGGACCTCTCAGTCCGCAGGCCGACGCTCTATCCACTGAGCCAAACCGGTCCTGGCCACTTTTACAATTTTTGCTTTTCTAAAATGACTTTAGAAATTTCTACACTTGTTTATTTTAAACTCTAGAAATTCAGAATTGGGTATTACATGGTTTAGGTTGAAAATTACATTACCATTACCCATATCATAGAGATAACTCAATGCTTCAAAATAAGGTTTCCAAGCTTGTGCTGCTAGTAACTCCGTGGGTGACCTGAGAGGGTGTTTTAAGCTTCAGCCTGTTTTCTCTATCTCAAATCAGTCAAATAAATTGAATGATTCTTTAGAGTTCTTATGATTTAAACTTTTTATGAATCTGTGATTCCCAGAAAACAATCTTGTTGGTCCAACATGTTATGCTTTCATCTGATTGCTTAGAGTTAATTGTAGACAAAATTGTTCGGAAAAATATTTTGTTTGTTTGTTTATTTATATTGTGTTAAGAACACTTGATATGGGATATACTCTCAAAATGATTTTAAATGTACAAAATGTACAAAAATGTATCTATATATATGGGCAAATGTTGTATATTGGGTCTCTAGAAGTTACGCAGCCCACATGACATTTTATGAATATATTTTTTAATTTTATTGATTATGGTTTCACATAATTGTCCTCATTCCCTCATTCCCATCCCAAACCCCTCCCCACATATGCTCCAACCCCCCTATGTCCATAGCCACTGGCCAGGCCCATATGCATGCACACAAGTCCTTTGGTTGATCTCTCCCCCTTAGCCCCACCCTCCCCTACCTTTCATCTGAGGTTTGAGAGTCGGATTTCTGCTTCTCTTACTCTGGGTCTATTTTTGTTCATCAGTTTACGTTGTCCATTATTTCCTCTAGATGTGTGTGATCATGTGATCCAAGAAATACCCTTGTAAGAGCCAAAACTGAGACAAGCCATAATGGTTATGCTGAGAGGCAAATGAATCAGTCTGTAGTGAGTTCCTTTCTGGGCCAACAGTTCTTTTGAGTCCCAATTTCAATGTCAAATAGTTCCTTATCTGTATATGTCAGCCATGGTATTTCAGATCTAGTTGGTGGACAAATGGTGGTGATGCAGGTTCGACCATCTCTGGTTTGGTCCTGGGCATCCTTCAACAACACGCAGCTGCTGTCTGCTGGTATGGAGAGGTGTCTTCAGCGTCTTCCATCTCTGAACTGTTTCTTTTCTGTCTTCATGGCTAGAGCACTTCTGTCTATTCCTCTCTGTTACAGGAATCCAGATGGTCTCGGAGTTGTTTTCTGAAAATATACAAACATATTCTCGACCAAAAGTTAATAAAGAAATATTTTTCTATAAATTTGACTTGGGATCCTTTTTAATTTTTCCCCCCAAATGATTTTCCTCTGGTTTGTTTTGACACCATGTGTGTATTTTCATGGGTATCTTGCTGTTAGGGTTTCGAATGAAGGTTAATTTCCTAAAGTACAAATTTTCTAGATGTAATTTACTCACAGGATATTTTTCCTTACATGATATTCTTCCACTGTCACCCCATTTTTAATTTAAATAATAGGAGGCTTTTGGAAATTTTATCATGTAGTCTTGATAGCTTTTACATTTTAATTATTTGTGCTAAACTATGACTGCTTTAGGTTCCTTACATGTTATGCAATTTTACCATGTGATGCTCAGCCAATAAGAATTTTTGTTAACACTTTAGGAACAGCTTTTTGTACAGTACAATCAGTTTTTCTAGAATATTTGCTTAATTCATTTGCTATGTATTTATTTACCATGTGTGTATTAGTGGAATTGATTATTTGCCTTCTTGAGAAGGGCCTGAGCTACTAGGCTAGACTTGGATATTAAAAACCCCACTTGCCCACACCATGGGTATAAGACCTCTCAAACAAGTCTTGTTGCAGTGAGAGGGCAGCTGCTGTCAGCCAAGTCTCTGTCTGTTACCTGGGTCCCAATTTGAGCTGTGCATGGGAAGCAAAGCAGCCATGGGGGCAGGAGACCTCCCTCAGAAGGGGAGAAGGTTCAGGCACCTGCCAAGTTGCAGGAAGAGTGGTAAGGGTCTGTGCCCCACCTCTGTTGACCCCCAGGTTCTGTCTTGATGGCCCCTCTGAGAATTTGCCTTTCCTAGGTTGTTCCTTCCCTGAGGAATCTTACCCTTCTCTGGATAATCAGCCATCCTCCGGGGCCAAGCAGGGTGATATGAGTTTTGGTCTGTCTCCTTGGTAGCCTATGCCCCCATAGGCTCCATGCCCTGAACCTGCCTCGGGAACCCCTCACCTGCTGGCAAGGCCTGGGGACTAATCTCATATTTTGGGGAACCCACGTTTCTTCTTCAGAGAGGGACCAGCTCACCCCACTGGGCAGGAGAGAGATCCGTGGTACCAGCCACCATGATGCTTCAGCCTCGGCATGAACTGAAAGGTCAGGCAACAGCTGTGGGCAACTGGACCACAAGAAGAGGGTCATTTTTGGCCAAAAGGGTGAAAGATGCCGATATAGAATGCTCAGGTGCCTTCCGAGGGGGCCCTCTACACAGTGGAAGGGATTAGGTCCTTTCATGTCATTTTTAAATTGCTGCCAGACATTCAAAGGATTGGTTTGTAAGATTGTTTGGAATAATTGTATATGCTGTTGTAATTCTTAAATATCTAGAGATGTGTACCTTTGTCTCCAAACACTGACAACAACAACAACAAAAAAGTAAATAAAATTAAAAAATGATTTTTCATTGATACCTCATGGTGTGACATACTATTATAGGTACTGGGGATAACCCAAATCTGGGAAAAATTATAATGACCTTGTAGAATAATATTGTGTAAGGATATTCTTTGCTCTAGGCCATGGCAATTTCATTTTAAACTGGCTGTCAATTTCTTTTTGTATAGACAGGTTTTTGTTACATTTTCTGCACCTCTCCCAGGAGGAAATAATGATGGCCCCTTCCTTTGGTGTCCTCCCAAGCCAGAAACCTCTCTTAAATTTACACACAAAGGAGCAATAGTTTGATTTTGTGTCATACAGAAGGGAAGCTGGGTGGTGACCCCTGTGTAATTATAATTCCTTGCCCCACCCGTGGTCCTCCTGGATGGGCAAGGTGTTTGGTATCATCAGTGACTACTTTGGGCAGGAGGATCAGCCCAGGTAAGGGCTCCCACCTATGAAGGATTAGGAACATAAGTCCAGAAATACTTACCAATAGCCCCAGGTTATATTACCATACAGCTGATGATGGCTAGCATGGCAGTAAAGGCATTCTCAGGTGTTCTTGGGGTGCCAGTTACCTCACACTTTCTTCTTCTTCTTCTTCTTCTTCTTCTTCTTCTTCTTCTTCTTCTTCTTCTTCTTCTTCTTCTTCTTCTTCTTCTTCTTCTTCTTCTTCTTCTTCTCTCTCCCACCCCCCCTCTCTCTAATTATTATTATTATTTCACATATGTGTTCTTATTCCCCCCTTATCCCCTACCCTCCACTCATATTCCACCCCCTGTTATCTGTGGCCATTGATGAGGCTCATATGTATGCACACAAATCCCTTGGTTGATTTCTTCCTCTTACTCCCATCGATCCCCTCCTTCCCTGGGGTTTGAGGTTCTGATCAATGTTACACAGTCTCTGGGTCTGTTCTTGTTCATCAGTCTATGCCGTACACTAATATTCCATAAATGAGTTAGATCATGTGATGTTTATCTTTCTCTGCCTGGCTTATTTCACTTAGCATAATGCTCTCCATCTCCATCCAAGTTATTGCAAATGGTAGGAACTCCTTTTTTTTTTTTTTTTTTTTTACCACAGCATAGTATTCCATTGAGTAGATGTACCACCTTTTTTATTTATTATTTTTTATTATATTTTTAAGTACATTTTTTGATTTTTCTAATATATTTTAATTGATTTTTTGCCCCCTCCCTCTCTCTCATACATACCCTCCCTCCCAAAAGTTTT